TTTGCGTTTACGCGACTGCAGCAAAGCTTTAAACTTTGATGTCTAATCAAAGTTTTCTTTGCCCGCTTGGTGGGGCTCAGCTTACCTCTCCAGCATCACCTGCACTTCTCTTTTCCGCCGGATGCATGGAGCTCCTAGTGGGTATTCTCTTCGGACAAAAGGGTCTTCCCACTGGCCCAAACTCACGTGCAAGCTGCAGACTCCAGGGCCGTGCTCATTCTGACACCCTACCTCCTATCTTTCTCATTCCTGTTCAGTAAGCGAAATATAACCCCTCATCTGCCTCGCAGACTTCCTTGACCATTTTACGTGCACACACTTTCCCGAACTTGGGCAGTTCTCAATTCAGAACCAAGTGGATTTAGTGAGTTAAGGATAGTATTTGGAGTCAGACCAACCTGGGTTCAAATTCTGCCACCAGTTTGGAGCAAATTACCTAACCACATTTTCGCCCAACTACAAAATGAGGTCATAATACCCACCTCACGGGATTCTGTAGATTAAATGAGATAATGTCTGTGAAAGCACTTGGCAGAGTTGTGGTTGAACCTTCTTTCACACAAGAGGCAGACAGTGAATTAATTCCATTATGTTCATCCAAGATGAGGTAGTTTGCAATGGGCTATTCATTATAGAAAGTATTCCGCGGGGGAGCACGAATGTACACATCCTCGCCCTTCCTCCCTCTCAGGGTTAGAAGCTGCTGCCTCTAGAAAAGAAGATCCTCCCAGGCTGGGAAAGCCAGATGGATGTGGCTGGGTTGTCATGGCAACACCACCTAAGGAGACTATGACCCTGCTGAGTCTCTTCCAGTTATATTCAGAATGACATTCGGAGTAGTTTTTAGTACTGTGCTTGAACACTGGAGTGTCGGCCCACCTCTGCATAAGGGAAGGGGTGGGGGCTCCCCTGAGGTCTTGAGTCTGAGGTCAGCTTAGCAAGATCTGGGCTGCTGTCAGATCTCCTTGCTGAGGTGTTATTAGTCTGGACAGCCATTGGCAACCTTGGAAGCAGGAGACAATGGGGGAAGGCCCTGGAGCCTGTGCAATACAGTGAAACTGAATTCAAGCTATCTGGGGCCCATCTGCTCCCAACCTCGGGTGGAGGCAGGGGCCAAGGGAAGCAGTAGTGAGACCCACATGGCCACAGATAAAAGTGGGTCCCACTCACTCCCCAGCCACCTAGTGCCAGGCAAAAAGAGCTAATGATGGCTTTGGAGCCAGATTGAGTTTAAAAACAAAACCAGAGCTCTACCACTCACTAGCTGTGTGACTTTAGGCATTCTAGTTTAGGTGTCTAACCTGTTTTATCAACTGTCAAGTGGGATAACAGAACCTACTGACTGTTGTGAACTATCCAGTAACGTGTGTAAAAGATTTAGCATTAGCAGGCAGATACTCCTGTTACCTGTGACCTTTGTAAGAGGCCGTAACTTTCAGTTACAAACCATCTCCAGGCCATCCGTATGTGATCCCTTCCCCCCACAGCGCCTGCCCTCTTAGTGGGTGCCACACCCCACATCCTCACCACCACCCACGTGCTCATGTTCCACGAGCTGCTTCCGTCCATCAGTTGCTTCCTTTCTAGGCCTGGTGTTACTTCCAGGTTATCCCACACACAATTTACAGATGAGTGTTCCATCTGAGAACTTGGAAGGAATTTTGCTCTCGGTGACATACCATACATGGGGTGTTTACAGCTTAGGGGAAGTCCCTACAACCCAGGTGATCAACTCAGAGTACCACCAAGTGGTAGCACAACTATAATGTGGTTTTCGTGGGAAAAATTCATTGCAAATCCAGCCCAGAAACTGTTCCCAATGCAACAAACTTCGAAAACCTGGCCCAGTGCCAAAAGCCGGCGATTAAAAAAATGAAAGGGATGCGTGTGAATCTACAATTATCTCAATAAAATAACAAACTTTACATAATGAAAAAATGAGGGGCGCCTGGCTGGCTCAGTCCGTAGAGCAGGCGACTCTTGATCTCAGGGTCATTGAGTTCAAGCCCCATGTTGGGCGTAGAGATTACTTAAAAGAGGTTAGGGGTGCCTGGGTGGCACAATCAGTTAAGCGTCCCACTCTTGGTGTCAGCTCAGGTTGTGATCTCAGGGTCATGAGATGGGGCTTCTCCCCATTTGTGCTGTCAAATAAATAAATAAAAATCTTTTATTTATTTGACGTAGAGCAAGAGAGAGAGACAGAGAGACAGAGAGCAGGAACACAAGCAGGGGGAGCGGCAGGCAGGGGAAAAGCAGGCTCCCTGCCGAGCAAGGAGCCCAATGTGGAGCTCGATCCCAGAACCCTGGGACACTTAACTGACTGAGCCACCCAGGTGCCCCAAATAAATAAAAATCTTAAAAAAAGAAAGAAAAAGGTTAAAAAAAAGAAACGGGAGACAGTAACAAAACCATATTTTGTGACACACTGTTAAGGTATGAATGGAAAAGCCTCGACCTATCTGTCCAGGAGTGGTAAAGGCAAGAAGGAAACCACATTCAAGTGCCATTTTCTTACCATGTTCCAGCCACTATTCTGGATGTTTCATATCAGCGTCTCTGTTTGGCATGATTGACATTTGGGACCAAATAATTCTTTTTTTTATTATTATGCAATCTGAACTTTATTCTTAGGTCTATGTTTCCAGTTTTGGAAAGTTTATCTTTTAGCAGCAGAAGCCTTTTTATTCAAATGAGAATGTCCCCAGAACTGCATCGTACGGAAGCCGGGCAGGAGTGAGGCCGTGTGGGAAGCTGGCTCAGGGGCTGGGTCTGCAGTCCTGCCCGCTAGGGTGCCCAGCTGGTGGCTGGGCCGGGGGAGCCTGGGGGTGGGGAACTGGAGAGAGAGAGGGGGCAGGGAGGGAGCAAGTGGAGGGAGGCTGGGTCCTCGTCCTGGGGGGAGTTCTGACACAGACTGGGGCCCAGGGCCCTTGGCCCCTCTTGGCCACACGGGACATTGGTGGTGCTTCCTTGGGGTGCAAGACAAAGGCTTAGGATCTGTTCAGACATTTATCGAGCACGCACCTGGGCCTGGGCTGGGCTGGGAGCCGAGCTCCCAGGTGGTGGGGAGGATGGACACACTGAGGGAGTTCTGTCCTCTGGGGAAGCACAGGGTGCTGGGGCGCCCAGGTGGGCAGTGGGGATCAAGTGGGCTTCAGGAAGGCTTCCTGGAAGCAGCAAATGCTTGGGCAGAGCTGGGAACAGTTAGTAAGGTGAACCTGGCCAAAAAAAAAAAAAAAGCTGGAAGGGTGTTCCAGGCAGAGGGAACAGCATGGATAAGGCACAGAGGCTTGCCACAAACAGTCCATATAGAGGTGGGGCCCTAAAGCAGCACGGGCTCACAGGAGGGGAAATGGAAAGGTAGCAATTAGACAGGAGGGAGTTGGGCCTGAGTGCTGCACTGGGGTAGCAAGTCTTCATTGCCCTCTGGGTCCCCAAAGCCCTGTCCCTTCCCCCACAGGTCCCGGTGGCTGGCACTGAGGCGAACATACCAGATAATTCTTTGTTGGGGGTGGGGGGGTGCACTGTCCTATACATTGTAGGATGTTTAGTAGCATCCCTGGCCTCTACCCGCTAGAAGGCAATACCATCCACCGTTGTCACAACCCAAAAACATCATTGCCAAATGTCCCCTGGGGGCAAAATCACCCCAGCTGATAATCACTGCTTTATATGCACTATATCACAATAATCACAATTAACAGTTGAGGGCCTATCATGGGCCAGGCTCTATGCAAGCCACCTGCACATGTGAGCTCACACTAGCAGCAACCATCCAAAGAGGGTTGTATGGGGACACCTGGGTGCCTCAGTCTGTTAAGCGTCTGCCTTGGGCTCAGGTCATGATCCCAGGGTCCTGGGATCGAGTCCCACATCGGGCTCCCTGCTCAGCGGGGAGCCTGTTTCTCCCTCTGCCTGCCGCTCCCCCTGCTTGTGCTCTCTTTCTCTCTCTGACAAATAAATAAAAATAAAATCTTCAAAGAGGGTTGTATGCCCATTTCATAATGAGAAAACATAAGGTCACCCAGCTAGGACTGAAACCCAGTTCTGCTTCAACCCAAATACCACGCTTTCTACAGCACAGCTCTGCTGAAAAAGGAGGGGGGGAGGGGGAGGAAAGGAGGAGGGGGGCGCCTGGGTGGCTCAGTCGGTCAAGCCGCTGCCTTCGGCTCAGGTCATGATCCCAGGGTCCTGGGATCGAGCCCCGCATCGGGCTCCCAGCTCTGCGGGGAGCCTGCTTCTCCCTCTCCCTCTGCCTGCCTCTCTGCCTTCCTGTGCTCTCTCTCTCTCTCTCTGTAAAATAAACAAATAGAATCTTTAAGTAAATAAATAGATATGAAAAAAAAAAGAGGAGGAGGAGAATGATTGACTGAGATTTGCTAGATAAGCAGGAAACACGCAGACAGGCTGGGAGAGGGCATTCCAAGACAGACAGACTGCATTACAAAAGCAGCGTGAGCGTACTGTGAGGGACGGAAGCACGGTTGTTTAGTCTTATGTTCATTTCATGGATTTTGGCCGTGTCACCCTACGGACATTTTGAGGCTGCTCACATTTTCAGTTCAGCTTAGGGACTGATGAGCACAGAAAGGCTTCTGTTGTTTGTGGGGCCATTCTAGGAAGGGCTACATTGGGGCGCCACAGTCTGGGTCATTACTATCCTCTTGTCCGCCTCTCCGTACCCAACCATCTTGTCTCCCCTCGTGCCCCGCTATACCCTTGGTTATGTTTACGGCGGAGGGAAGGGCGAATACTCTGAAAATAGATGGGGACTCGGAATGGCTCTAAAGGCAGAATCATTTGCTGGAAGCCAAAGACCTAACACTGGTGGCTTCCCTTCAACGAGGTCAACTTTATTAGCCCTCTGAAGAAGGGTCTAGTCAGATCTCCTGGGTCGCTGAGGCTACTTGAGGCATGAGGCCACCAAAAGAGAGACTAGCAAGCAACTGGCCTCCAGCCCTTTCTAAGAAAGAGTTGTTCTTACCAAAGAAAGGAGGTAACACTTCCATGAGAAAAAGGACCTTTTATGGTTAGAATGCACAGTCGAAAATCTGAGGAGGGGGTGGCTGCTAAGCAGCAAGAAGAACCAGACGTTTTCCGGGGACAATGCACCTTCTTTGCCTCCCTACAGCAGCCAGACTAGGCCTCTGGACAACATGAGGACCGTGACCGTCACATCTCCTACATAAGGGCCAAACAGAGCAGGGGGCCCCGGCGCTCAGCTCACAAGCCCTGCAGAGAACAGGAAAAGCACATCCGTTAGGCTCAGAGCTTGGGGCAGCCATCACCAGGCATCCCCCATCCCATGAGGCACATGTCCTGGATCTTCCAAGCAGACAGTCATGAGAGTTTTCTTCATCTGAGACTTGGCCATTAAGTCCCACATCTGCCCCCTGCCTCCACACACCCCTTCTCCAGGTAACAACCCTGGATGCACGATCAGGCACTCACCCAAGTAATCGTCCATCAGAGAGCCAATGGCAAACTGCAGGAGGGAAGGTGGAAAGGAAATAAAGCCTGAGCAAGCACAGAACTAGCCTCTAACCCATAGCCCCAGGCCTTCTGCCTACCCATCCCCTCCTCCTGGCAGAAGAGCACAAAATCCCCAGGAACCCTGGGTGGTAAGAAATCAACAGCTCCCAGCTCTGCCTGGTACAGGCAGGAAGGCAGGCAAGAGACTCACAATGTCATTCTTGTCCACACGAGTCCCCACAATCTTCAAGCGGATCTCATCATCCTGCTGAATCACAATGTCCTGGGGAAGAGGGAACAGAATACGCAGATAGCCCCCAAGCCAGAAAGCCCTGGGAGGGCTCATTCCTCCCGCTCTCACGGTCTTCCCCACTCACCTCGTCCATTGTCTTGTAACACGGTGGGTTGGAGTTGGGGTCAAACTCCATCTCTGACGGGATGGACTGAAAGGAAAGCAAGACGGGGTCAGCGCTTTACACGGGTGCTCCCAGGGGTGGTCGTGAGCGGCGCCTCCCCTCAGCACCCGGCACGCCCAGACTTACATGTCGAGAGATGAAGCAGGACATAGGTCCAATTTCTGTGAAGAGCCCAACCTAGGGGGACAATGAATAACTCTGCTTTGTCTTTTATCCCCCAACTCTTCCAAGCTTCCCAACTTTTATGTGATTCCCAAAAATATTCTCCATGTTTTGAAGCCACTGAGTCGGATCATTTGCTTTCACGTCTCTCTTCTGCCAAGATTTCATTTTAAGTGAAGCAAAGTCAGTGCTATCAGGGGCCAAGGCTTGGGACCTATCCATTCACAATTTGAACACTTGTTGATCACATGACCTTGGCCAGTAGACTTAACTTCTCCAAGCGTAAGCTTCTATAAGAAGGGATGAAAAGCACCCACCTCAGTCGTCATGAGGTTTTGCACCACACCTGGCCCACGGTAAGTACTCAATGCATGGAGGCTGCTATTGCCGACCACTCACACTGACTTCCATGACCCCGAGGGAGGCAGCAGAGGCGATGTACCATTTGACAGGTGAGGAAACTCAAGTACAAAGTGTCTTAGCCAAGGACACAGAGTTAGCAAGAGCAGGCGGGACCCATCCCCCATCTTCTGAGCAGCCACCCAACTGCCTCCGCTATGTATGGTCTCACCTTGTTGACTTGAGTGACGACAGCATCCACGACCTCCCCTTTAAAGGGCCGGAAAACAATGGCCTTGTACTTAACCGGATAAAGGACAAAGCCTCGGCCTGGCTGGATCACACCAGCACCAATATTGTCAATGGTGGTGACAGCAATTACAAAGCCGTACCTGTAAGGAGGATGGGAAAAAGAAAGGCACTGTGTGGGCAAGAGCCTCTAAAACCATCTGCAACAAGACAGTGAGCATGGGCATTAGGGGACAGCACAAAGGGCAGGAGATGGCACCCCTGCCCCCAGAACTTAATGCCTGAGAGAAGACAGGACCCCAATCAGTATCTACAATGCCACATGCTGCTCTCATAATTTCACAATAAATGTCCAAGGAGGCTGCAGTCCTTGAGCCAAGAGACCTCAATCGGCTCAGGAACTTGCATGTGTTTTTTTGTTTTTTGGGTTTTTTTTAAGATTTTATTTTTTATTTTTTTGAGAGCACGAGCAGGGGTAGGAGGAGAGGGAGGAACAGACCCCCCGTTGAGCGTGGAGCCCCACATGCAACTCAGTTCCAGGACCCTGAGATCAGAACCTGAGCTGAAGTCAGACACCTGACCTACTGAGCCACCCAGGCGCCCCTGCCTGTGCTTATTCGGATGTGGGAGGCCCATGTGCTCCATAGCCCCGGGCTCATCCGAGCTCATTCACATCACCATGTGAGAGGCCGCTGTGCGCAGAGCCCAGAGATATGCCATGCCAGTCATGTGGGATGGAAAAAACCAGAAGAATAACAGAGGGAGAACAGACACAGGAACAATGATTAGGCTGTGAGCCCCACGAGAGCTGGCCTCATTCTATCTCGTTCCCTGCATTGTTCCCAGGGCCCAACACAGAACCTGGCACACAGCAGGAACTTTAGAAATGTTTGCGGAGTAAATGAATGACCAAGCTCTGCTAAAGTAAATTAGTCTTGCGATCCAGCTTTGCCGAGGGCGCCGCGGGAACCCAAGGCAGGAAGCAAGTGACTGCGTGGGGTGCCTCAGAGGGTGGGAGGGTTCCCCAGGGTAGGTGGCAGGTCCTTGCGGGACGAGCAGGAGTTGGGGAAAGGCTGCAAGCATCGGGCGCCTCGAAGCGCGCGGCACTCACTTGCCGGTGCAGGTTCCCTCCACCTCGGTGAAAAGCTTCTGCTTTACCGTGTTGAGCAGGTTGGGGCCGAAGTAGCGCGGGTGCAGCAGGATCTCGTGCTCCAGGGAGATCTGCGGGGAAAGTGGAGTGGAGACCACGCAAGGCGCGGTAGGGACACGGGGCCAACAGCAACTCCTCGTCCCGGGGCCCCGCTTCGCTCCTCCTCTCAACCCTGCCCTCGCCGCCGCCCCGTGCTCCGCTTACGTGATAGAACATCTTCCCAGCAGGGACCCCACAGCAGCGGGATCCACGGGGGCCTCGGCAGCCGGGCCTCCGGCCAAACCGGAAACACACACAGCCTCCCCAATCCTGCTTCCGGGCCTGCCGCAGCGAAGTGGGCGGGACTCTGCGCCCTCCGTAGACCCAACTGGGCCTCGCTGTCGTGGGCGGGAAATCCGTGAGCCCCGCCCACTTGTGCCACGCCCACGAGGGGGTCCAACCTCCAGAGTCTTAACAGTGCCTGGCCTAGAATGGATGCTCAAAAGATAAGTACTTTTTAAAAATTTTCATTTGTGGGCACCTGGGTGGCTCAGCTGGTTAAGCGACTGCCTTCGGCTCAGGTAATCCTGGGGTCCCGGGATCGAGTCCCACATCGGGCTCCCTGCTGAGCAGGGAGTCTGCTTCTCCCTCTGACCCTCCCCCCTCTCATGCTCTCTCTCTCTCTCTCTCTCTTTCATTCTCTCTCTCAAATAAATAAATAAAGTTTTAAAAAAAGAATTAAAAATTTTTATTTGTTTATTTATGAGAGAGAGAGAGAGAGCACAAGCATGGGGAGCGTCAGGCAGAGAGAGAAGTAGGCTACCCGCTGAGCAACGAGCCTGATGTGGGACTCCATCCCACGACCCTGGGATCATGACCTGAGCTGAAGGCAGAGGCTTAACAGACTGAGCCACCCAGGCATCCCAAATAAGTACTTTTAAATGGAATTAGTTAGCTAATGAAAGACAACAGGAATAAAGCGCTTTAGCAGAGTGCATTCGTATAGCAAATATCGGAAGACTGCTTTCACATAGTTAAGCATAGGAAGTAGCTGTCTTTTTTCAGCAACCCCACCAGGCAAGCTTTACCAATGAGGGCCCAGGCCCAGAGGGTTGAGGTCACTTGAGGATTACTCAGGGGCGGGATTCAAATTCACCGTGTCTGACCCCAAGACTCTTGCATATTTGGGCATCCCAGATTTTCATGCAGGATTCGTTCAACAAACATGGAGTACCCACTTCTTGCCCGCAGGTAGTTAGGAGATGAAGCAACCAAAATCAGAGCCCAGAAGGCAGCGCTCCCACCCCGTGTGAGAAACCAGGTCACTGCACTCCTCCTTCCTGGTCCCCCTCTCCACTCCCCGCAACACACACACCAGGGGCTTAGAGAATTGATGAGCCTTTGTCTGTTCCTTCAACTCCGCCCACTTTTTTGTAAACAGTCCCTTTATTAAACTCACCTCAATTAACCAGAGTGAGCGTACAGTCTGTTCCCTGCTGAGACCCTGACTGATAAAACGGTGGTACAGAAAGAGGCAGAAACCATGAGACACAGACCCAAGAGAAAGGCTTAGCAAGGGCAGCAGGTTCTAGAGCCAGGACAATACTGTGGCCTTGAGCAAACTCCCAGTTGCCTAAGTTTTTTTATGTTGTAAATGAAAGAGCCTGACCCACCCTCCTTCAAGAACAGAGACATCTGCTTCCTCAGAGCTGTCACACACCAGTTGCCATTGACACTGCCCATTTCCTAGAATGTTTGAGCCCACCAGTCTCCCACTCAGACTCCATGGGGATCCCCTTTGGAGGATCAGGCAAGGAAGCAGATGAATGGGCCTCAGTTTCTCTTAATTTCTCTTCTTTTCCAGCCAGCCTCCCCTCAAAGGCAACTTTTGTTTTGTTTTCCTTTCTATTTAAATCCAATTAATTAACATATAGTGTATTATTGGCTTCAAGAGGTAGAGGTCAGTGACTCATCAGTGTTATATAACACCCAGTACTCATTACATCACGTGCCCTCCGTAATGCCTGTCACCCAAGTAACCCCAACCCCCCACCCACCTCCCCTTCAGCAACCCTGTTTCCTAGAGTTAAAAGAGTTTTGGTTTGTCTCCCTGTCTGATTTTGTCTTGTTTTATTTTTTCCTCTCTTCCCCTATGATCTTCTGTTTTGTTTCTTAAATTCCACATGAGTGATATAATTATCTTTCTCTGACTTATTTCGCTTAGCAAAATACCCTCTAATTCCATCTACATCATGTTGCAATGGCAAGATTTCATTTTCCGATGGCTAAGGAGTATTCCATTGTGTATATATACACCACATCTTCTTTATCCATTCATCTGTCAATGGACATCTGGTCTCTCTCCATAGTTTGTCTATTGTGGACCCCTCAAAGGCAAACTTAAGGACAGGGGGGTGCTGGAACCAACTACAAGAGCCTTTTTTTTTTTTTGGTGGGCAGCAAAACAAGGTTTATTGAGCTATAGCAAAGTGACAGTACAAAGTTTCCAAGGAGGGAGGGCACCTAAAGGGGTCGCCACTGGAATTTCTTTCTTTTTTTTTTAAGATATTATTTATTTATTTGAGAGAGAGAGAATGAGAGATAGAGAGCACGAGAGGGAAGAGGGTCACAGAGGGAGAAGCAGACTCCCTGCTGAGCAGGGAGCCCGATGCGGGACTCGATCCCGGGGCTCCAGGATCACGACCTGAGCCGAAGGCAGTCGCTTAACCAACTGAGCAACCCAGGCGCCCGCCACTGGAATTTCTAAGTCTAGGGGTTTTCATGGGCTTGTTGGCGGGCTGTTTTCATCTGATGAACCCTCCCTGAGCCTGTCATCCAGTTGGGTTTTTGTCATATGGGAAAGGGTGGAGGCCTCCTTCCAGGGTGGTGTAAAAGGGTGTTTTAAGGGTGGTTTCCTCTTAGGGCGCGGGGGGGGGGGGGGGGGGGGGGGGGGGAGGGCCTTGTCCCACCTGCCTTTCTTCCAATTATCCTTCATTATCCCCCGTCTGAAGAGGTAACCCTAACTGCTCTTAGGGAAAAAGGCCAACGACCCACCATAGCTATTTCCTGCTGGTCAGGGACGTGGGTGGGGCGGCAGTCAGGGTTCCTCTCATCCAGATCTATCAAGGGGTCCCCTGCAAGTGTCTGGTTTGACCTTCTGGAAAATATGAAGTGGGTTAGGGCATTTAGGAGGCAAGGCCCAGTGCACAATAAAAGACTTGAGTACAGCCAGGGGTCCGGCGAGAGATAGAGGATGCCTTCGTGAACTCCCCACATGCTGTGAGGAGAGGGCAGCCAAAGGAAAAAGACTTACCTGTGTCTTGTCACTTCAAGACTAGCTTGAGTCCTCTCTGGGTTCACAGAGGGATTTTTGGTTCCTTGTTGTTAGGCCCCATTGGGGACCAGGGTTTGACCAGGGTTTGACTCTGGAATGGTGGATCCAGGCTTCACTTTGACTGCTGGTGGAATAGCTAAAATCCTGGTATACAGCCTTCCCAGACCAGCTCTAATAAGCACTTGGTCCCCAGGGTGAAACGGGAGACATTGGTTATTTTGGGGCTGGGAGTTAGGAAGCTCCTTGCAAGAGGGAGGAAATGATTAAAGTCCAAAACCTTGGATACTCCCTTATCACTTCTGAGCCTTTTTTTTTTTTTTTTTTGAGAGAGATAGTGCACGTGTTGGGTAAGTAGTAGGGGGACACAGAGGGAGAGGGAGAGAGAGTCCTAAGCAGATTCCACTCCCAGACCAGAGCCCAAGGTGAGGCTCAATCCCACAACCCTGAGATCACAACTGGAGCTGAAATCAAGAGTCAGACGCTTATGGGGTGCCTGGATGGCTCAGATGGTTAAGCATCTGCCTTCAGTTCGGGTCATGGTCTCCAGATCCTGGGATCGAGCCCCACGTCGGGGTCCCAGCTCAGCGAGGAGTCTTCTCCCTCTTCCTCTGCCTCTCCTCCTGCTTGTGATCTCTCTCTCTCTCTCTCAAATGAATAAATAAAATCTTAAAAAATAAGTCAGACGCTTAACTGACTGAGCCAACCAGGTGCCCCTTAATTTAATTTTATTTTAGGTTGTTTTTTTTTTAAAGATTTTTATTTATTTGACAGAGAGAGAGGGAGAGAAAGAGAGAACACAAGCAGGGGGAGCAGCCGGGAGAGTGGGAGAGGGAGAAGCAGGCTTCCTGCTGAGCAGGGAGCCCGATGCAGGGCTCGATCCCAGGACCCCGGGATCATGACCTGAGCCAAAGGCAGACACTTAACGACTGAGTCACCCAGGTGTCCCTAATTTTATTTAAATAATTTCTACACCCGCGTGGGGCTCGAACTTACAACCCCAAGATTGAGTTGCATGCTCTACCGACTGAGCCAGCCAAGTGCCCCTAGCCAGTTGTTAGTACTTCAGGAATTTTACAAGCCAGCTGTTAAATACAGCCTCTATCAAACATTTAATGCTATTATTATAACTTAGGATTAAATTAATTATACTGAAAAAAACAAAGGCAGGGGTGCCTGGGTGGCACAGTTGGTTAAAATGTCCAACTCTTGCTTTCATTCAGCTCAGGTCGTGATCTCAGGGTTGTGAGATGGAGCCCCCCCGTCGGGCTCCTGCTAATATGGAGTCTGCTTGAGATTCTCTCTGCCTCTCTCTCTGTCCCTCCTGCTCACTCTCTCTCATACTATTTTAAAAATATATATAAACTTAAAAAACAAAGGCAGAGGTGAGGTAGTTTTTTGCTTTTTGCTTTTTTTGGGATGTCGGTGAGGTTGGTGGGGTCCGGTGCTGATGGCCAAGGAAGAATTCTTGGGTCGTCTTTGGTGCAAAAAAGGTGGTTTTATTAATAAAGTACCGGGACAGGACCCCTGGGCAGAAAGAGCTGCTGTGGATGGAGCCCCACTGCTCCCTGCTGCCCGGGGAATGTGAGGAACAACAGATCATATACCTTGGGGTTGGGGGGGACATAAAGATAAGGGAAATTCTAAAAGGACTTCCATATGCTAAAGAAGACTCAGGATCCTGGAGGAATGTTATAATCCGCCTATTTCAAGTATTTGTCAACGGGCTGCCGGTTATAAGGATGTTTAATTTTATCTACATGTCCTTCTGTCTTTGTTGCCCACATGAGAGGTACAGACGAAACAAGTTTGGCAATACATTTGTAATTGCTGAAGCCGGATGATGGGTAATAATGGTTTCTTATATGTTTCCTTCTAGTTTTGTGTGTTTGACATTGTTCATAATAAAAAGTTAGGAAAAAAAAACCCACAAAGGTTATTGTGATATTGTGATTTATAATAAGAAATATATATTTGGTCTTCTCTGTTCTTGGCACAGAGCT